CTTTATCTGGGTAGCAAAAGCTAAGCTAGATCCTTACTGTTTATGTATGGTTTAGGTCGTCTTTTCCAAGACCCTTGCTTTGTCTTCTTCATGTGTATAAGATTTAATCTACTATTTCATGATTTAGCATTGTGCTTTTTCAACTCTTGTGTTTTAGTTTTGACTATTTCAAAAAAAGTCCTTGTCAGCAAACTTTGTTAACTTCCTATCCACTTCTATTGTTGTTCTTTTTTTTTTTAATAATCTTTTTATAGAATTCATGTGGGCTTTTTTCCCCCAAAGCAGACAACACTTATAAATTATTTTACCCCTTTATGCTATAACCTATAAGGAACATAGGCAAAATATACAAAAACTAATTTAGCAAGTTCAGCTCTGGCTGTATATAATATTATCGACTGTACATATATCTTTGCTTGTTATGTTGGTGTGATAAAGGTAGGAATAAGAAGATATAGCCTGTGCAATATTCTTTGCATGTGCAGAAAGATACTCTTCCTGAGTTCAGAGTTTCTAACTATTTAGACTGCAGTTTCACAAGCCAAATAATTGGATCTGGAGGCTGTTGCTAAATGGGGAGATTCTGCGCACCCCATCCACTAGGCTGGCTTCCTGCTCCTTTCCTTGCCCTTGATCAAGAAGGGCTGGGACTCTGGGACTAGTCATGAAAACTTAAAAACCTGACTCACCATGCAGTCTCATGACTGCTAGAGCCAGTGTGAGAGAAGGGGCAGAAAAATGCAGCTGGGGGTGAAAGGGGAAAAAGGGACCGTCCCTTTGGCAGCAGTCTATAATTAAACTGCATTAAATATATTCTGAAATTGCACTCTAAGCCTTATATAGCACAGCAGTGTTTCTACTTTTTCTTTACAAAGGAGAAAGCTGAGGTACTGAGAACTTAATAACCAAATCCACAGATATTCCTTGTGAGTCAGGAATATAGCCCAAACATTCTCATGCAGTCTGATGCTTTGCCCTCAGCAAAAAAGAGGAACTGCTGTCCACATTACCTGACTGGAGATTTGTTTTGGCATACCATTTGTGATTTTTATGCAGGTTACTATTCACATGGCTTAACCAATAAATAAAAAGGTCACTAATGAAATGTAAAGATTGATTCAGTTAAATCTATCTGATAATGTCTAATTTTAGTGAGAATATCTTGCAAATTTTTTTAGCCTACTTTTGTAACCTCTATAAATTGAGGGCCCCCTTGCAACTTTTCATAAATACACATAAATAAACGGAGCTAGCATTCAAAGTGGGGAAGCGTGCTGGGTGGTACACATCTAATGCAGTGCAGGTGATGCAACAACTTTGGAACAGGTGGCAGTAGTGATGGCAGTGGACTAGAGAAAAGTATGAAGGCAGACAGTGATTAAGGTTGCCTGACAACTGTAGCCTTTTTGCTATGTGTTAACTCTTTCTTTATCAATAGGAAATCAGAATAACAAGTTCAGGTTAAGTTTAAAAACTAAGCAGTTTTGACTGTTTGAAGATGGATGCTAATGGAACTGAAAGCAATTGTACAGAAGATAACAGCTGTTTCAGTATGACATATTGACATTCATAAGGGCTTTCATTTATTCTGATATGCTAATAGAGACCAATGGTGCTATGCCTTCTAGTAGATGGTGGGGTATGAGGATAGTATTTATATGGCTTATTGCTTGGAAAGTTTTCCACTGCATTAAGTCGTCATGAAAGAATAATACTATAGTCTGTCCTTCTATGATATAAATTTATGAAGAATTCAACAGTGTTTCTTGAAACTGTTCTTTCCCTTTATTTTCCTTGAATGAGGAATGCAGTATTCCATGTGAAAACTACACTTTCATAAGAAAATAATAATTGTTATTCTTAATAACCTACATAAAGGAACTTTTCTAATTTTGCTCACTTCTGACTACCTAGTCTTTTCTATCCTTGTCAAGGTGCGTGTATTTTACATTTTCAGTATGTTCTTGGGGTTTTGAAAGACTACTTAGGTTTCTGGCCTGGGAGAAGAGTTGAATTAACTCAGCATAATCAAAGTTCTACAGAGTTAGCTGCTTCTAAGTAGCATATTTTTACAAAGAACTTGAACCACAAAGTAGAGGTAGTCAGAACACGTTGGCTTTTTGCCAATTTCCAAGTACAATTTCCTTGGCAAGCGTAATTTCAAGTCTTTCATACATTTTTCCTTGATGAAAGTGAAAGTATTGCAAAGTAATTTGTATTTTATAGGGAATCTTAGCTACAGTTACTTCTTAAATATTTCATTAGTCCTTGTTCCATATCGCTACTCAGCAGTAGCATATTTCGTTGTAAATTCTTTCCATTACTCACAAAGCCACACAAATATCTTGGCACTTTCCTCAGAGAATTCTTAACTTCCTACAAAAACAAGCAACAAAAAGCTACCAGGAAAAATAACCAAAAGATTTTTTCAGTTCCTCAAATCTATTTCCTATCCCTAAGAGAAAGCAGGATTTTCCACATATTTCATTTAAGTGAAATGCTCAAGTGAATTAGATGGCTTGTATTAAACCAAACAAATCTATGATGTGTTGCTTTATGTGAACTATATTGTGTCAAATATGAGAACAGATCATATTTCATATCCATACTCAGAGATTCCTCTGACTGCTACAGAAATAGGGTTATTTCTATTGAATAAGCCTGTTTTCCCTTTGTTTGCTCTAGATGTGAGATTTCATTACTTACATTTTTTTCAAATGTATGAACTGCCTGCCATCTTTCATTCCTTTTGATAAATAGAAGTTTCTTAAATTCAGTCTTCTACATGCAGGAGCCAGTATTTTATATTTATAGAATAACTTAACATCAGTAATTCCAAAAATTTACTGCGATAACATTTTAATTGCTCTTTGTTACTCTGGCTTCCCAGGTTTACAAGCAGTTGAGATGCATGGTAATATCAGATTTTACCACTTTGAATATTTCAAGAACAAATGCTTACAGCTAAGGTAGTGCATGATGCCAAAGCTTTGCATTTGATAATGTTTAAATACTCCAGATTGGTCTAAGGTGTGTTCAAATAAAAACATAATTGCACTAAGGCTTGGCACATATTATTACAAATTGGTGCACTTAAAAATAATGGCCTACCTTAGAGAGAATCCAGAAGCAACGCAGAATGAAAGGTACACCTGGAGAAGGTTTTTTTTTTTTTTTCTTCTTTTTACTAAACTTAGTAAATTTACTAAGTTTGCTTTCAGTAAACTGAGTCCTACTCCTCTCATACTGACAGGTACTTTTTTTTTTTATCCTCATGTGTTCTACAGTTTGTTTATTTCTGTTTTTGATCCCCCTGTCTCAAAGTTCTATACTACATCCTGCTTTCTTACATCTCTATGGGCTATCTAAAGTTGGGAGGAAAGGATGATTGTACGAGTTAAAAGCCAAATTATCGGAATTATATAGAAAGTTATAAAAATAATGTCAGTGACGTGTTTTACTGTTACAGCAGTAAAAATCTGAGGCCAGACCTCTCATTTCAGTTGAATTCATCTGAATTTTCACTAACATAAAGCGGGTGTGAAATATGAATTTTTACCAGTGTACCATATATTTTAAATACTCAGAATAATTGCTCATAAGATATGCACTACTCATTTTGAACAAAACTGTGTCTATAATCACCAGTATGTACTTGAGAACTAGCTTGGTTGACTGTATGTTATCAAATGTTAAATGAAGTCCAAGGAGAAAAAAAAAAAAAGAAAGGCAAATCATTTTGCTTGTATTCTTGACAGGGAAGAGCATGAGCCTACTTGAAAACATGACATATGAGAATTCATTGCTTGAGGAAATTGTTGCTTTGTATTGAATATTTCACCAGACTTTTAGTTGAAATAGATAATTTTGAATTCTGCGGTCCCGACAGCCAAGTTAGAGCATTTACCCAGAGCATACTGGGCCAGGTGTAAGATTTTGGTGTAAAGCATTTGAAAACTGTAGGCCTCCATGTAAGATTCTTTGTCATAATGTTTTTTTTATCAACCTCACTCCTCAAGAGGTGAAAAACCCACCTTAGTGTATTATCAAAAGGCAGTTGTAAAGGAGACACATCTGTCAAGTGCGTCCTGGGGGCATGTCTTGGCCACTGATCCTCCTTAGGTAGCAGTGCTGCTTCTGTTTTTTGCCCTACTTGCCCAAGGAAAGACTTGACTTTATTTAAATTACACTGTCATGAGGCCATCATAAAGCACCTCCAGGATACTGCAAGCAAAACTTGGTTTCGAATTAAGGTAATATCTCAGAGTATATAAAAGAGTTAGAATAGCGGTATGTTCAAGTTATCAAACCCTAAGCTGGAAATGTAAGCATATATACACCATATACTGGCAACATGAATTTGCTGCTCCTTTCTTTCTCTTCAATTTGCATATACTAAAAAAGACTTTTTTGGGGTTTAATTTCCTGTCTGAAAGTTATTGTGTGGAAAACAGAGGACTTTGTTCCACCAAAACAAATGCATTTTTTTTTTTTTACACAGCCCTACTATTGAATAAAATTGATGTCTCAGTAGTAATGTTTTAGTAATTTTTTTGTTATGTCTCCATTCCATTTACCGAAGCCTTTATTCCTGCATTTCACCTACTTTGCTGCTAACAGAAAGCTACTGTCTCCACCAGATGTCTGAAATCAAGGAATGTTTGAATTAATTAATCGGAATAAATCTGAGTATTAGATATCCATCTTCAAAGTATTAAAGATACTCAGGTACAACCAGACATGCTGATACTCATTTTTCAGCATTTGCTGAAAGATATAACAAACCTACTAACATAGCAAACTAGAGCTCTGGAGTGAGGCATGGCAATAGACTTGTATGTTTGCATTCCTTTGACCTGATGTCTTTGATAATTACTCCTGAACTAATTTAGTTGTTTTGCTCATGGCATTGTTTTGTTTTTTATTATCTTGCAATTTTTGTCAAAAATAAGACTAAAATGAACATCTTTTTGTATTAGGATAAACAGAATTAAACTGACCTTTCCTTTGCAGGCAGACCCTGATGCATATCGTCAAGCTGATTACCATTGGCCAGTCTAAGGAAAAATGAATTTGTATTAACAAAAAAAAAAAAAAAAAGATATCAAATATCTGACAAGTGAAAACACCTCCCACCTTTATAATCCAGACGCTAAATTACTCACATACATACACATTTCCCCCTGACCCTGCACTGGCATACCTAAACTGATGTATTGGTCTAGAGGACTTCATACGGTGAAAGCTGTTCAGGCATTCTGCTCCTATGCTCCGCATAGCTTAATGGAGCTATGCTCCATCAGCATACACTGAAATTTTCACTAATGCATCTTAGTCTAGCTCTGAAACCTGTTTAAGGCATGCTCGTATACAGTACTTATACTGCTGGAGCTCAACCAGCACAATAACACAAACCCTTCAGTATACTCATAACTTCAGACATTACTAACAAAATTGTGTTTAAAACATAATTTTAAATTGCCTAAGCATAAGTTGCTATATTTGACACATGTACAAAGTATCAAAGGATAGCTTATTTGCCAAAGGTAATATACACTTTTGATCACCTATCTGTGTTTATCTGAATGTTTAAGATGAACTTGAAACACAATGGATAAATAGCATTGTGCTTAATGACAGACACTTTTTTTGCTTTGCACAGCTTTTTATAACAGAATCAGTAAATGAAAGGTCTGTTTCTCTTAATAGATGAATGTTTGCACATGGGCTAAAATGAACTTTCAGTTTGTCTTCCTGCTAGACAGAATTATCTGGCATCATTCAAAGGTCCTATACATTTATAACCTTATACCTATATTCTAATGAGTCTGGCTTTATCTGGGAATAGCAGTGCTGGAGAGCAGCTTGGAAGCTGTTAGACGTGCTGCCTAAACTGCTTTGATCTCTTGTCTCCTAGAATCTAGCTTTGATAAAAGCTGAGTGCAATGTCAAGAAGAACCTAAATGAGTGTTTCTCTACACAACGGACAGTGTATGACAAGAATAGGTTCCTCTTTGAAACTATAAAAAGGCTTGGCTTTGTCGTGAGGAATCACTATGAATAGATCTATGAAAAGATAAAGGTTTTTTTTTTTTTTGCCTGTCTTCCATTCACTTAGCAGTTCTGGCTTTAAACACACATACACTCAGAAACGGTCAGATACATATATGCACAAACATCAATTTTAAAATTTAAAAATTTTATCACTACTGATGGGATACCCATGACTGATCATATATAAAACTGAAACTCTGCTGTCATCCTAATGTATATTGTGACACTGAATAATTTATAGAAAGACTAAGTATTGAATGCAGCTAAGTCAGTGCACTCTAGAAATGGTTCATGCACAGCAAAAATAACGCATAACCTGAGGTTGTTCCAAATCAGATGATCAATCTCTTTATGTAGCTCTGTATTTGATGTAATTTGAAAAGTCTTCTGCAGCTCTGCAATTATACTCAGGCTATGGTGTAAAACAGTTTGTCAGGAAAGAGCTATTTATGTTTTTTTATTTTTAAACTGTAGTACCGAGTTCTGGATACATTTTATTGTGGTTAGACTGTTTCAGGAAGTCAAAATAAACCCAATAAACCAGTTTGGTTAGGTTTCAAAAACAGAATACACGTATAAATCAAAGTGCTATATTTAATTTCTGTGAAGTAGGAATGATTCTTCAAACAGCAAAAAATAAAAGCCTAGATTTCTTTTTCTGTTGGAGCTCATATATTGCTTATTCAGATTTGTTTGCTGTGCAGGTAGCACCCATCAGTTCAACCTACTCACATTACATTAATAAAATATTAATCTAAAATGATTTTCCTGCTTTTGTATTCTCAATATAAAGTGGTATACCAATTGACTTAACAGGTATGCCTTATGTCCGTCTCTGAAGCTTCCTAAATTTCGTCTCTGACAACAGGAATGTTACCCAGAGTCTCAGCCCTTCTACCGAGACCATTACTGCTGTTCCTCAATTGCATTTCCAACTACAGGGTACAACAACTACGGTGATCTAATAAAATACAACTTTATCTGTCAGACACAATTTACAGAGCTCAGTTTGAAATCACATGGCTTTAGTGATTTTTAGTCAGCTTGTCCTGCGTTTGCAAACAGACTCGTAGCCAAGATGTGTTAACAGCAAGTGAGTCAATAGGCATAGGTTGAGTCATACAGCAGGGGCAAATAATTTTCTGTAACCAAGACCTGTGCTTAAAACCCAGGCTTCAAAGTTATGACCAGCATTGTTATGTGTCACATCTTAATTTCACGCTAGAAGAAAACTAAATCTTGGCAATACGTAAAGCAAATGAATATCTGAAATACAATAAATAATGCAACTTAACTCCTCCTGTTTGGAGAAGAGTCTGAGAGAACTGGATGGGGTAGTACAGTGCCTCTGGATTTTCCTAGAAGCAAGTCGCATTGCACTGAAATTGGAGAAGATGAAATTCTCCACTGTACTACATACAACAAGCCCAGAGACACTGGATATCTGCAATACTATAAATTATAGTAGGAGCATATGGAGGCCCGAAAGCTAGTAGATAGTCTCCTGAAAATTTTAAGAACAACTTAATTATAGTCTTGCATGAAGCTTAACTTCACCTTTCCTTTCAGTGAAAGATAATTGCTTGCTTTTCATAGGACTGTTACTCTCAGAATATTTGGTTTATTTGTTTATTTATTTGGTTGTTGGATATGGATAAAATGAAAGTTAAGAGTTTGTTCAGGGTAAAACAACAAAAATAATTAATGTGACCAGACCATGCTACAGTTTCCATTCCAGCAAAACAAGTTTGCTGCTTTAACTGCCTCATATATGAGAGTCCTTTTGTTGTAAAGTAAACACGTACGCTAATTAAATTCTACAATGCAGGGCAAAATAAACAAACAAACTATAAATTACTTTCCCACCTCTCTTTGATCACTTCAGTGATGGGGAGGGGGTGTGAAAAAAAGTCAAAAGGTCTTTGAGCACACTATAAAATATAAATAGTTTACCCATAGTCATAAGATATTCCTTATTTGTAATAGTACTATTTTAGATTGCTATTGCATAATTTGTTCAAGGCTGCTTTCTTCATTGCCTCTGTACTTTGGACTTCTTTTGCATCTAACTTAGCTTAAATTTCTCTCACTCACATGCATGCCTATGGTGAAGTGAATAACTTACAGCATGTACCACAGTAAAATGCAGAAGTACGGTGCTTTGAATGTAGCACAACTCAAAACCCTGCATAAACTGGCAAAGTTGTCTATAGCAATCCTTGGCTTGAAGAGTAAACCAGATCTGATATCCAAAATTCCATAAGAAGGTGCACACACAAATATCTCCCTCCCTTCCCCCCTAGCCAGCATTGTTTGTTTTAGTTCTTGCTACCCATTCTTCTGAAGCTTATATGCATTTTATATAATAAAGATCCAATTAAGTGTATATGATGTTACTTGAAATATTTTATACTTTATGAGACTCTCAAAGTAATCCCAGTTAAGTAGATCGAGAAAGCATGAATATTGCACGTGGCAAACTGAACCACAATGAATAAATAATAATAGTTGTAACTCTTATAGGATTCTTTTCAGCAGTCAATATCAAAAGTTTTCAAAGATCATCAGTCAGTATCATCTATCCCAATTTTATCAATGAAGAAATAGAAGTCCGGGAAGCTGAAATGGCTTTGCCAGTGTGACGCAGCCATTTGATGCAAGGGAGTTCCCAAGTCTACAACCTCTAGACAAGTCCACCTAATTTTTCAATATGACCTAACAACCACTGTCATTTGCCTGTTCTAATCTGTAGATGTACTGGCTCTCGTTCTAATCACCAAGCAAAATGCTTTGTATAGAGTTAGAAAACACTTCAGACAGCTAAAGTGTAAGGTCTGATTATATGCCTGGACAAATGAAAGTGTAACACCTGGACATTCACATATGTTAAATATATTTTAAATCCAACCCCTAAATACAAACGTAACACAGATCAACCCCAGGAACAACGCTAATAAGCTTCAGTTTATTTTGGAAGGTTTGTTCATTTTGTTTCCCTGCTGCTTTTGTGCTATGCTGTTTGAGTTTCTTTTGCTTAGTTTCTTTCTCTTGTGATGATTATAGATCTTTGCAAGCGCTATGCTGCTTAGTGATTAGAAATTTGCATTACTTCCTCTGTATCTATGTTCACTTGTTCCATGACTATAATCCTCCTACTTTTTTGAAAGTTTAAAATTCTATGAATGGTCATCTGTCAAAACCAGTTTTTTTCCCCCTTGCAGGATCCCTCTTTTCTCCCCTGTAAGACTTCATTTGATCTCATGCCATGTTTTTATTCATATTTCACATTGTTGCACTTGAAGCGCTTTTGTATATCTTGCCAAAATCTATACCGCTGTCCCCAATATTACACGGACATGCTTAGTCTTAAGCCATGTGAATGTTCGTTGTACACGCTGCACTTAGTTTTTATTTTTCTCCTGGGTCAACTCTTGCAGGCAGATACATGGATATCTGCTAGTCATGTAAACCGTGTGTGTACATCAGAGGACTCATTCAGTTTAAACGTGACACTTAAGAGAAAAGCTACTCTATGAGAATTTGAAGAGTGATTCACATTCATAAATCTTGTCCTTTGTAGATACTATCTTGTTCTTGGGTTTTCGGTAGGCCTGAGCCCACGGCAATGGGGAGGAGAAAAATAAGAGAATAAGCTTTTTTTTTAAATATAAAAGTTTAAATCTCTACGTGGTTAGCCTTATTCTGGTGCAGAAGTGCTACAAAAATTTAGTTAAATCCTTCTCTTTGCAATATCCTCTCTATTGAAGGCCCTGTTACACTCGAATATGCGGATAACTTCTAGAGTATACTGCAGTAACACACAAGTACTGAATCACGATATTTTAGGGACATGAGGATTTCTATTCCAGCCTTCTAGGGCTCCTGGTTACTATCCCCATTTCAATCTGCTATTACTTAGCAACCACACCTCTTCCTGCAGGACAGCAGTAGCTAGAGACTTTGTATGTTTACTCTTACTCGGTGCCCAACAGTATTGCTTTTTCCTTGCT